TATTGTCACATAAGTAGGAGTTCCACCTTTCTTTCTTTTTTTCTATTTTTCTTTTTTAAATGTGGATTGATTTTATTTATTTTTTAATGTCAAAGACAATTATAAAATATTAAAAATTTAAAACCATTATAAAATCTCAGCAACTAAAACAATATGACACCAGCACAGAAATATTCAAGTAAATCAATGAAATATAATGACCATTCTAATAACAAACATACATATCTGTCTAACAATGTAAAGTATGATTAAGTTCATATTTGAAATCAATGGGTAAAATAAGGCTTATTCAACATATTAAGTTCATGGAACACTATTACTCGTTATAAAACAAATATAAAGCACTATTTCACACATTATACAAGAAATATAAAGGTAAGTTAAAAATCAATATTTAGAAACTCAGAAGTTTTAGGAGAAAATAAAAACTATTATTTTTTTACCCTGAAGTAAAATATTCAAACCAAGAAGCTATAAAGCAAAATATTGAAAATATGACTATATTAAACATTTAAGACTATATAGTAATATACATATTTTTAAAAAGTTAAAGGAAAGGTAATATAATAGGAAAGTATTTGCAACACATCTAAAAAAGGGTTAATATTTTTTTCTTTTTTATTCCAGGCAAAATTTCTACAAACGTTCAATGAAAAAAAGTTGGTGGGGGGTAGGCAGAGACAAATGTATTTGAAAAAATAAATTAAAAAAAATACAAAAAAGTCATTTAAAACTTTTTATATTAATAGAAATAGGCAAGAAATGTACAAAAACAGGTTTAGTTTCAAGAAACAATAAAGGAACAGTGAAAATAACACATCATTGTCACAATCAGATTAGTATGTATTAAAAATATTGGAAATATCAAATATTGGCACCTGGGAATTCCTTTCTGACCCGGGTATTCATAGACTTGTTTTCTTCATCTTAAAGCAGTCCCTTCACCACATTTTGCAATGCTGGTTTGGAGCAGATGTTTTCTTTTAGCCTTCTTTTGTCTGGGAAAATCCTTATTTCGCCTTCCATTTTAATTGAGAGCCTTGTTGGTAGAGCAGTCTTGGTTGCAGGCCTTTGCTGTTCATGACTTGGGATATTTCTTGTCATTCCCTTCTGGCTTGCAGTATTCCTGTTGAGAAGTCAGATACTAGCCATATCAGGGCTTCCTTATATGTTACTACCTCTTTCTCTCTTGCTTGCTTTAGGATTCTCTGTCTTTGATATTTGCTATTTTGATGATAATGTGTCTTGGAGTGGGCCTCATTGGATTCCTCTTGAATGGGACCGTCTATGCTTCCTGGACTTGTATGATTTTTTCTCTCCTCCAATTTGAGAAGTTTTCCATCATGACTTTTTTAAACAGGTTCTCTATCTCGTTCCTCTTCTTCTCCTTCCAGTATCCCTATTATACAGATCTTATTACATTTGATATTGTCCTGCATTTCCCTCAACCCCTCTTCATTATTTTTGAGTCTTTTTTCATTTTCTTTCTCTTTTTAGGAGTTTTTTTCTACCTTGTTCTCCAGCTCCTTGATTTGAACCTTTGCTTCATGAGCCTGCTTTTGTTTCCTTCTACTGTTTTCTTCAATTCAGAAACTATTCATCATTTCCTCTTGCCTCGTATTGAGTTTCTATGTCCTTTTTCATGCTGATGTAGTTTGCAATAAGTTCCTTAAAGTTTGTCCTTAGTTTTTGGTAATTCTCTTTGAGCTCACTGAGCTCACTTAGCTTCCTTAGAACCATTGTTTTGAACTCAATATCTGATGGTTTACTTGCCTCTATTTCATTTAGTTCACTCTGTGGGGATTCCTCCTTTCCCTTCCATTGGGGGGGTATTTCTTTTTCTTCCCATTATTTGTTAGACTCTTCCTTTTTGCTTCTGCCTCTTAAATTGATCAGTCTTCACTTTCTGACTTTGTGTTGTGAACATTTATGGTAGGAGACCACTTCTTTTTTTTTTCCCCTTTCTGGATCTTCCTCTGATGATGTCCACTCTTGACCCCATCTGACCTTAGGCAGTCTTTAAGAGACTTCCAGGAATCTACACTGTGTGTCTGTCTCCTTCAGTTTTCAATATAGTCACTCTGCCCTCAGTGTCCAATTTAAGCTCCACAGGGAGGAGCATATTCCCTCTAGTGTGTGGAATTATTTTGTTTTTTCATGATCCTGCCACTCAGGGGAGTAGTCTTCTTGAGAAAGATAGCTGTTGCCATATAGGGGAGGAGTCAGCACTGGGATCCCCCCAGCTACTCCCTCAGTTCTCTCCCCAGTTCCTCTACCTCCAGAGTCTCCTCATGTGTCTCTATAGAACTCTGTGTCCTCCTTAAGCAGGGACCTATTATCTGTGACTGCCGCTCCGTACTCAGCACCCTGGCCTGTGTTACACCAGGCAGAGATAGAGCCTCCTGGGTATGTGGATATCATGTCCTTTCATGCTGCTGACACTCAGGGGAGTTGTCTGTCTGAGCAAGATGTCTGCTGTTGTATGGGGGAGGAGTCAGCTCTGGGATTTCCCCGGCTACTCCCTTAGTTCTCTCTGCAACACCTCTGACTCCAGACTCTACCAAGTGCCTCTAGACCACTCTGCCTTCCCTTCAGCCAGGGATCAAATATCTGTGACTTCTGCTCCTCACTCAGCACCAGGGCCTCCAGAACACCGGGTGGGGGCAGAGCCTCTTTAGGGCAGGGATATTCTGTCCTTTCATGCTGTTGCCACTCAGGGGAATGGTCTGTCTAGCAAGATGGCAGCTGTGGAATTGGGGCTGTGTCAGCACCCGGATCCTGGCAGTCGCTTTCTCAGTTCTTTCCCCACAGCCTCCCTCCCCATTTTCCCCTCAGGCAGCTCCAGTACACTCTGCCTCTGCCTTTGCCAGGTCCCAGGGAAAGTGGCTGCCACTACAAATTTTTGTGATTAAATGGCTCTTTGCATCTCCCGCCTCCTGTTTCTGGCAGAGAGCATCCACATCCTTTTCTCAGCTGGGGTTGTCTGCATGCTTTTTGGGCTCTGGTGCTGTAGACTGCAGATCCCCACCTATAGCTTAGACCCGCGCTCATCTCAGGGGTATCCAACTGACTGTTTCAATATCCCTCTGGCACTGCCATCTGTTGGCACCCAGCCCACCTTCTGGAGCCTCTACCGCACTCCTTAGCAATTATTTTGCTCCTTAGCCAATTCCTCTGTCTGTCTGAGGTTCTAAGCCTCCTCTCTCGCTATTTTTCTATTGTTTTCCAGGTGATTTCTCCACAATTTAGTTGCAATTCCAGTTGGGTCCTGGGAGGAGGTCAGTGTGACTTCCACTCACTCCTCTGCCATCTTTAAGTCCCTTCAATGTGCATTTCTAAAGCAAGTTTTTGCTTGCTAACATAATCTGGGTAAGGTTTTCAGTTGAATGTTTTGATGAGAATCTTCCATTGATCTTCTGTAAATTTGGTGTGGCTTCACCTATGATTCATTGTGATTGGAGAGTTCTCTTTAGCTGCGATGGAAAGGTGAGGTCTCAACCTTCAATTGAGAAACAGCAACTCGGTGGTGAGGCTGATTTTATATCAACTGCATTTGTTCTTGATAAAGTGCCAAAGTGGCAAAGATTCAATTTTTACATACTAGCAAAAGTGTAGATAGCTTTCCCCCTCAGGAACACATTCATGCCTTTCTTTCCCCATAAGCATACATCTCCTAAACGCTTAAGTGACCCCATGAGATGTGCAACCTGTGGAGCAACAGGTGGCAACAGCTTGTCTCACACTAACCCCCTGAACCTGTTTCTAAGGCCCCTTTTCTATGACCTTCAGTGAGCCAAAGCAGCCCTCCTAGTTTCTTTCCCGTTGCTTCCTCTGTCCTAAGCCCTTCCTTGTTTCACTGTCTCCAGCTTTAGTAAACGTCCTCTCAAAAAAGTAAGCAGATTAAAATGGATAAAGTAAAGAAGAACGTATTGGACATATAACATTGAAAATGTGTTCAATTTAAAATTATACAGAACTGTAGGAGTTCTAATGTGATAAACAATTGTAGATGTGAATGGAATAAGTGAGCCGTGATAATTTTTCCTAAGCTTTTCTTTGCAGGTTCTTCATAAAATATTTAGTGATATGGAATTTCATATTTGTTAACTATCTTGAAATATCTGTGCATGAGCATTCTTTAAAATATTCTGGTTTCAGTCTTATAACTTAGCAGACTTCACTGTAGAAAGAATTGGTCAGGTATTGGCTTTAAAAAAGAGAGTCCTGTGTTTCTAATTTGAGGTTATAAGCACACCTAGAAGGACCTCACATGTACGATAGCTCTCTGCCACAGAGAAAACACACAAAGATAATTGACACCACATGGTATCTTGCCATTTTCATGATTCATAAAGGATACTTGGCCTTTTCAAATCAAGAATCCAGTCTCATTTGAAATTCTGGAAACACACATTTTTCCCATCATAATTTAAGGTAAATACTGTAAATGTTTGTAATGCAGAATTGAAGTAAGGCATCAGCAAACTTTTTCCAAATGTTTTTTTTTTCTTTTTTGACTGAAGGGTCATGTAAGCTGCAAGATGTTGGGTACTGATTCCCAGCTGGGTTTTGAAGTGGTGTACTTGGGAAAGATGAATGAAGCAATCATGTTTATATTTCAATTAATTAATGAGTGTGGGCTTTAAGCCTCCCACAGGATTCACTAGAGGAAAATTAAGCCTCATTCAAGACAACACTTTGCCCAAGAGAGGGAAAGACAATCTCAATTGTTTACTGATGACCAGTACTGTGTATGTCAAGAAGGAAGCAGATGGAGAAGGTGAAAGCAGTTTTCAAGTGCTCAACATCTCCTTACTGTAGTTTTAATGAAAGTGCAAGCTATTACACCCTCTTCCATAATATTATGCCTATCTTTGTTTCATTCTCTCTCACCAAAGAGCAGACATGAAGCAGGGAGTAAGCTTGTGGATGGCAAAACCATTCAAGTTCCATTTGCTTCCACCTCTTAGGTCCCAAACCAAGGCCCAATATATTTCTACCTGGTATAGCTCAGTGGCAGTGTACTGAGTGGTCAAGGACCTCAGAGGTTTAAGATCATCTTCATCACTGCTCAACGTCAGGTCATCCTCAAGCATTCTACAAAAAAAAGCAGAGTGTAGTTTACATTAGAAAATGTCTTTTCTAAATCATCCTTAGATCCATCTTGCAATGAAGACAAAATATTGAAGATACAATCTGATAGCTGCAATTCTGTTAAAGCTGCAGAGGGAATCAACTTTCTTTCAGCTAATAAGATATTTGAGCTCTTGTATCTATGTCATACTCTGCACAAGTCTTCCCTCTCTATCTTCTCCTGAATCAAGTGGAAAAAAGGACTATTTCAGCATCTGTAGATATGACTGGAGTCTATATATTTTTACTACTTAAATTATTATATATTATTATTTTTATTAATATATATTTATATATATTATATATTTTATTAATAATAAAAATTATTATATATTATAATAAATGTACTTATCAGTCTCTGTGGAGGTGGAATGTGACATTGGATATCTACAGAAAAAGATGCTTCAAGTCTCCCATGAAAGGGTAAGGGTATGATAACAGTCCCTAGCTCCAGAGATTGTGGCCAAAGCCTGCTAGGACTCTCTAGATGGCAGGCAAAAGGTCCAAAGAACTTTCACTACCTTTCAGTGTCTTCTGCATTGTGTCAGCTTAGTGGTCACAAAATATCTGGGCAAAAAATAACTAGTCACTAACTTTTTGATATATGACTGATTTCTTTCTGTAAAATTCTATCCAATAAATGTGAACTCATGATGTGGATAAGAAATCTTTCTCCCTAAGGCAAGATACCTTAAAAATATAGTGGACTGAATTTTTGTGATGAAATAGTATCTTCAAAATTGTTTATTGTGCACACAGAACCTTTTTTTCCTACAAGAATATGAATTCCAGTGTGACCTGCTCTTTGTACAAATTTGAGCTACAGAGGGAAGAATATTTATTATCTTAAAATTCCAGATACACAACCTTCACAGAGAAATTAGTGTTAATATTTTTATTTAATAAATACTACTTTAGACCTTGTCCCCAGTCTTTGAGTGGGAACTCTTTCTTTCTGGTCATAAAGGTCTTTATTTTCCTTGTGTGCATCTCTCCATGTGTAAATACAGGTAGGCAATGACTATGTTTTAATTTAAACCAAGTGTTTGGCAATTCCTATCATTTAGAGAATCCATTTCTGTGTCAGAGAAGGTGCTACTTATTTGACCAGCAACAAGTCATTTGGATCATATGAAAGTGATGCTGTTTTAGCCACAGTTTCTAAATGGAAATACCACAGCTTAGAGAGGCTGAAGAACTTGATCCTGATCACACAACTAGGAAAACATGGAACTCATACCATCTTCAGTTGGAACTTGAGAATATGTAATGTTTTTCTAGAGGATATAAATTATAAAGAATAATGTATTAAATAAATAAAATCAACAGCAAAAACAAAAAAAAGTATTGATATATTGGGATTCAACTCAATATATTTGGATTCAACTGCTGGCTAATCATATATTCTTATATCTTGGGTAAGTCATTTACTGTCTATGAGCCTCATCTGTGCCTGTCATCTGTTAAATAGGTTCATAATTAAACTCTTATTTGTGAAATGCTTTATGAAAACACAAAATTAATGCAGGGCATCATTGTTAATCTGGACGTATATCATCACAGTTAGAAATAATGTACATCATTAATATTATTAACAAGTAATCCCAAGCAAAGTCTTCAATGTGAGGCCATGGTACTCAGAGTGGTCTCATGGAGTCTCAAAGCTGGATCCAGAGATGGGTTCCTGGTCTTCAAGCTACTCTTCTTCTTGTAGAACTACCACAACCAGAACCAGAATGTGAAGAGCTGGAACTCATCTATTTTATTCTCCAATCAACCCTCTATGATTTTAAGATAGACATTAAAGACCCTCAATTGTACAATTCTGCAAATAGAAAGCCGATATACATAGTGATTTTCATTAAACATCCTGGTGTAACAAAGCTTGGTATAGATTTGGTTGTTAATAAAGGACAGTTTGATATATGTGTTGAAGTCCCAGTGAACTCAAGTCAAGAAAATAACTAGAAAGAAAAACTACCATTAGTTACCTCTAGAGGTGTTAGGCACTCATTTCCTTCCACTCTGTCCCTGACCTATTAAGTTTTATTATTGAATATACATGTACTTGTTTTTGTTCCCTTCCATAGTTAATGCTGAACATTATTCTAGGGGAAGTGTAAGACTATAAATGATTTTGGATTTAATTATTATAGCAGTACTATTCAAACCCATTGTAGTTAAGGTAGTCTCAGGAGAAAAATGGTAATCTCTTTTCAAGAGGTTATAATTGCATAGACAAATCCATGAACATACTAGATATCCCAAAATATGAAAAAAAAAGTTCATATAAATGTAGGCTTGTGTGTGCAATCTTAAAAAAGAGCCACAATACTTATTCTTCTACTTTTTTTTACAAATTTATTAATTTTATTAATTTTTTATAGATTCTCTGTTTTCTTTTTTTATTGTTCCAATACATTTGTCTCCGTTTACCTGTCACCACTCTCCCCTGCCCCAACCAGTCCCCAACTTCTTCCCTCAATCCCTCCACACTTTGGCTTAGCCCATGTGCCCTTCACACCTGTTCCTTGATCTGACCCTTCCCCTTACCTTCCCCGCTACCCCCTCCCTCCCTCCCTCCCTCCTGTACCTTAGGTTTCTTCTTTCTTTCAATGTTGCTGGTCATATTTTCCTTGCCTGCTTGCTTTGCTTATTAGGTTCCACTAATAGGTGAGATCATATGGTATTTGTCTTTCACCACTTGGCTTATTACGCTTTAATATAATGTTCTCCAGTTCCATCCATGCTGTCACAAAGGATAGTAGCTCTTTCTTTTTCCCTTTCTCCTTCCTTCTTTCCTTCCTTCCTTCCTTCCTTCCTTCCTTCCTTTCTTTCTTTCTTTCTTTCTCTTTCTTTCCTTCCTTCCTTCCTTCCTTCCTTCCTTCCTTCCTTCCTTCCTTCCTTCCTTCCTTCCTTCTTTCCTTTCTTTCTTTCTTTCTTTCTTTCTTTCTTTCTTTCTTTCTTTCTTTCTTTCTTTCTTTCATCTTACTTTTTGCTCTGCAGTATTCCATTGTGTAAATGTACCATGGTTTTTTGATCCATACATTTACTGATGAGCTCTTAGGTTTCTTCCAGCTCTTGGCTTTTGTAAATTGTGCTGCTATGAACATTGGGCTGCATAGATTCTTTTGAATAGCTGATTTCGGATTCTTAGGGCATAATCCAAGCAGTAGAATTGCTGGGTCAAAAGGCAGTTACATTCTTAGCTTTTTGAGGAAATTCCAAACTTTTCCACAGTAGCTGCACCAGTCTGCATTCCCACCAACACTGTACTCGGGTTCCTTTTTCTCAGCAACCTCACCAGCACCCACTGTTTGTTGATTTGTTTATGATGGCCATTCTGACCCTTGTAAAGAGATATCTCATGTAGTTTTAACTTGCATTTCTCTGATGGCTAGTGATAATGAGCATCATTTCATGTGTCTCTGGACCCTGTGTGTGTCGCCCTTGGAGAAGTGTCTGTTTAGGTCCTTTACCCACTTTTTAATTGGATTGTCTGTCTTCCTGGAGTGGAGTCATGTGAGTTCTTTATGTATTTTGTAGATCAAACCCCTGTCTCAAGTATCATTGGCAAATATATTTTCCCATACAGTTGGCCCCCATTTCATTTTGCTAATGTTTTATTTAGCTGTGCACTCCCAATTGTTTATGAAGTCTCAGTTGTTTATTTTTTTCCATTATGACCCTTGCTCTAGGGGACATATTGGTGAGGATATTGCTATGTAGGATATTTGAGAGTTTCCTGCTTAAGTTCTCCTCTAGGATTCTATGGTGTTGCTGCTTATATGTAAGGTATTTATCCATCTTGAGTTTATCTTTGTGTATGGTGTAAGTTGGTGGTCGAATTTCAATATTTTGCATGTGGCTGTCCAGCTGTCCCAATGTCATTTGTTGAAGAGGCTCTTTTTATTCCATCTTATTCTTCTGCACCCTTTGATGAATATTAATTGACTATAGAGATGGATTTATTTCTGGGCTCTCTATTCTGTTCCCTTGATCTATGTATCTATTCTTGTGACAGTAACAGACTGTCTTGATTACAGTGGCCTTGTAATATAGTTTGATGTCATGTACTGTGATCTCTCCTACTTTGTTTTTCTTTCTCAAAATTGCTGCGGATATTCAGGGTCACTTATGGTTCCATATAAATTTTTGAAATGTTTGTTATATGTATGTGAAATATATCCTTGGTATTTAAATAGGGATTGCATTGAATCTATAAATTGATTTGGATAGTATGGACATTTTGATTACATTAATTCTTCTAATCCATGAACACGGTATATGCTTCCATTTATTTGCATCTTCCTTAATTTCTTTCTTCAGTGTGGAATAGTTTTCTGCGTACAGGTGTTTTACTTCCTTGGTTAAATTTATTCCTAGGTACTTTATTTTTCTTGTTGTTATAGCAAAGGGGATTTTTTCTTCCTGAATTCTACTTCTGATATTCATTGTTGGTGTACAAAAATGCCTTTGATATCTAAATATTGACTTTGTATCCTGATGTTTTGCCAAGTTCATTTATTAGGTCAAATAGTCTTTTGTTGGAGTATATGGGGTTTTCTATATACACTATCGTGTCATCTGCAAACAATGATATTTTTACTTCATTCTTTCCAATTTGGATGTTTTTTATATCTTTTCTTGTCTTATCACTGTGGCTAGGACTTCAAATACTATATTGAATAGAAGTGGTGAAAGTGGAAATCCTTGTCTTGCTCCTGATCATAGTGGGAAAGGTTTTAGTTTATGCCCACTGAGTATGAGTTTGTCTGTCAGTTTTTCTTAAATAGACTTTATTATGGTGAGGCATGCCCCCTTTATTCCCTTTTGCTGAGTGTTTTCATCATAAATAGGTGCTGTGCCCTATCAAATGCTTTTTCGGCATCTATTGAGATGATCATGTGATTTTTTACTTTATTTTTGTTTATGTGATATATCATGTTTATTGATTTGTGAAT